AACAAAAAAAAAAAAAAAAAAAAAGAAAAAACAACCCAGAAAAACTAACAAGGAATAAAATGTACAGTTCATCAGGACTATACAGATGGGTAGATCTTCATACATAAAATGGAAAGTTCATCTGCCTTTCAGATGTGCAAAACCAGACAATTTTGCAAGTAGCAAACCTTGAGGGAAAAGGAGGAATCAGCAAGCAAAAGGAAAATAACCCAGTCAAGTAACTTCCAAGTGTCAAGGTAGGGTGGTCATGGCCTTCACACATTTTCCTGTGTCTGAACCAATTTGTGACAACACTGGATGCAGCCATCCCCATAAGCCCAATCTTACTAACTCCACCTTGGCCACTACTTCTGGGAGGGGAAAACTTAGGGTTACCAAGAAGGTTGTACATTAATTAAGTCTTGGAGAAAACGTTTGGGAACCATTGGTATAGAATATTAGATATTTTCCCTTCCCGAGAACACTTGATTGAAATAATCCCTAGGCCTGAATTAATAAACAGTCTTGCCCCTGGTCCTGTGGATCAGTCCCTTTTTGAAAAGTTTCAGATGGAGTATGTCCATCTACATCAAGTTGGTCTATATTTATACTTCTAAAATGCTCCCCAGTAGCTAACCCAACAAATGTATTAGGATTTTCAGTGGGCATAGTTAGATCCCCATCAAATGGGCCTTGTCTTCCACTGCTAGATGGAGTTCTAGTGCTAGAAGACTGAAGTTTTGTTAATTGGGAACCAAAACATGGTACCTGCAGGACACTGGGTGGTCTTTGCTGCTGCTGCTCACCCTCCTTTACTTGGATTTCATTTTGGATGCCTTCTGGCTTGGGGCCTTCATCAGCTGTCCCAGTAACAAGCTGCTCAAGAGTAAGGTCAGCAGTTCTTTCAGTGAGGTGGCTGTCTTCAAAAGTTTGTTCCAGAACATTGTTCCTATCTCCTCCAAGATCATTTTTGAGACAAGGTGTATTGCTTGATTGAGGAGAGCTGGCTTTGGGAAAGGATCTAATTCCCACTTGACCCTGTTGATTATTCACAGAGCATGGTGTGTTCTTTAGAGTGGACCCATCATCTCTAAAAGTGCTTGGGCTTTGGCTTTCCCCAGGCAGTTTGTTCTCTGAGTTGTTTCTTTGGCTAGATAGAATGCTTGCTGAGGAGACAAGAGGTCTTGCATATTTTGTATGACTACTTTCTGTGTGGGTGGGGCTGATGTTTTGATTCTCTCCTGGTATATGATTGTAGGATGGAGTATAGACTTGTAGAGCCAGTGGATTCTCCTTGGGCCCTGTAGAGCTACCATCACAACAAGAACTTTGTGGGCTTTGGTGAAATAAATGTGCTTCTGTTTGCCCTGATAGGTAACTTTGAGGAATGAAATCCAGGAAAGCCAAATTCTGTCTCTCTGGTGAATTTAGCCTAGTCATTTGTGTATCATAGTTTAAATCCTCACCTTCTTGCCATGTTGGGTTTTTCTGGAGCCCAGCTGGAGGGTTACTGGAATAGGGATAGTTCTCTTTCTGGTTTGGTGGGCTAACTTTGTGTACATTTGTTGCCTGATCCCAGTTATTTATGTTAAAATATGGCTCACTTTCTTGCTGCCCCTGTGCTTGAGTCTTCTGGTCCCAGGAGTTCCACAAAGGAAAGAGAGTGCTTTCTTCTTGTTGGATGGCATTATTAACATAATAACCCCCACTGTCCATAGGTGGTGATGTAGTGGGACTTGGTTTGTATGATGGAAAAGTCTCATCCAGGCTCCAGGGATAAAATTCACTGTAAGGATGATCTTCTCTGGGTTTTGATGGATTATCTAAGTAATAGGGAAGATATTCCTTTGGTTGATTAGAGGTATATTGCCCCCCATCGTAGTTCGTACTGGTTGGTCTTCCATTAAAACTCAGCTCTTCCTCTCCCCATCTACTTTGTCCTGGAAAAGGTTCATCTCCAGTTGGATCAGGTGTGTCCTCTTCATTATAATGGCCTGTATTTTTGTGGTCTGCAGTCTTCAAGGGATATTGTGGATGTTTTGGGTGCCCCATAGTATTGGGAGAATCAACTCTCTCATCCCATGTATTGCTTCCAGTGTACGGTGAGTTTTCTCTGGGATAATAGGAGTTATATTCAGGGTAGAAAACGTTTCCCCAAGAACCAGGGGGAAGATGAGATAAATGTTCTTCCTGGTTCCCAGGATCTTCCTTAAAGGATGGAGCAATTTTCTGGTGACTCCAACTATTTCTTCCATCTGGAAAATGTTCTCTTTTAGGAGAAGGGATTACTTCAGGATAGATAGGCTGGTGTGTACTGTGCTTTAATTCAGGCTGTTTAGTTTGTGTTTCATATGGGATTCTTTTTGGTTCTAAAGCAACTCCTTTGGGAAAGTTCTGGCTTTGGGTTTGTGCATTAGAATTTGGCACTCTTCTGGATCCTCCTCTTGAGTAGTAGGAGTTTTCCTGTTGATTAACAGAATTAAAATTTGGACCTAGCATGTTACCATCAGGGTGAGGCCATCCAAGATTTTGTTTACTAACTCCATAATGTTGAGAGTTTCTCCAGGAGCCTGATGTATCCTTTGTAGGACTCACTGTTTTTTCTTTTTGACCTGGAGATTTTCCCTTTGGATTTTGCATTTTTTCATTGTAGCCAATAGTACCTTGTTTGGGACCCAGTGGAGTAACACTGGTTCCCACAAAAGGTTTATTTGGCCCCTGAGGCTTTCTTCTGAAATTTGCTGGATTTCCTGCATAATTGGGATAATTGACTCTAGAGGTGGGTGTGTATGTTTTGCGGTAAGTTGGATTTCTAGGACGAGCTGCTTGTTTGCCTTCCCAAGCAAAGGAGTTCCCTTGACCCCTTTGACCTGGTTGATTTTGGTAAAAAGTCCCAGACTGTCTTTGCCCAGTGGCAGTATCTGTGGGATTTGATTGTCTTCCTGAAGGAGAATTTCTGATGTTAGGATTTGGATAAATTCCGTAAATTTTTGGCTGACTTGGCTTCCATGGGATTTGACTTCTGGGTACTACCTGGCCTGAAAAATTAACTCTAGGGAGTGGGAATATCCCATTTTGACCTGTAGGGTTATCCCCAGGATTCAGCCCAGGAACATTGTTTAGTGTTGGACTAGTTTCATTTTTGCCTTGACCTCCTGGTTGGGTAGAATTAGTCTCAGGAACTGTTGAATTAGCTGAGGGTTCTGGTGGTGGATCCTCTGGCTTAGGAGGATCTTTTTCTTTAGGTTTTTCATAATCTTCAATCTCTTCTGAATAATAAGGACGACCCCCAAAGCCAGGATATCCAAAAAATCCAAAATAAGGGTTCTGTAGGAAAGAAGATAGAAATTCATAATTATTCTTCATTTCCGCGGTGTTACTTGGAATTTTTTAACATAATGGGGAGATCTTAGCCACAGGCTTCTTTTAACACCACTGGCTGTGCTTTCTTGAAATTTGATTCCTCCTTGATTCCATGATCCCACATTCTTGGTTTTACTCTTCTGGTGCTGTTTTTGGCTAGTCAGCCTCGATCTTAAATCTGAGGGTTTAGATTTTTTTATTTTTTTTTTGGTTCTGTCCTCTGGTCTCCTATTTCTCTGTTATCCCTTTACGCACTTGCCTTGAACAACTTGTGGCATGCCTGTACTTTCTATCTGGACACATGTTAATGACTGAGAGGTGTAACTCCATCCCACGACACAGTCTCCTGAGGATGAGACACAGGGACACTTCACTAAAGATCTCACTGGGCTCATTGCTACCAAAACCCCCTTTCCAGTGTTATGTATCTAAGAAACAGTCACCACCATCAATTCCAGGTTTTGCTTTCTCCCCTATTTCCCTATACAGTTAGTGACAAATTCCTGGAAAACCTCAGCTTTCACTCCTCTCTCCACTTTATCGATATTTATTTTTATCCCATGACTCTGACTAGCTTCAGAGATAATAATATAATAGTATGGACTTTGTAGCTCATCGTGGTGGTCAAATGATACAGCGTATTGTATATACAGCTCCATGTTTGGAGCTTGGTTAAGTGCTAATGAGTGCTATATGTTATATAATAATAATTATTACTAGCTATAACTATTACATTTAGCCACATCCTCCACTGTGTACCTTATGCAGTTACAACTTACAGCTACTCACAACCAGCCCGAATACCCAGTTCTCTTTATAGCTCAGTGCTTTTGCTTAGGGCTCCTTCACATCCATGCTGTCCCCTGCACGTGTGTCCCTGTGGTACACTTGGCTCATCCCTCAAGGCAGCCTGACTGCTGCCTCTCCATCCTGAATTCCATGGCAGAGCTGGGTTCCACACCTGGGTGTCCACAGCATAACACTCCTGTCAGAATGATCATCTCATTGACTTCAGCTGCTGATCTTCCTGGGATTCACTCAGTTGATTTCTCTGTGTATTTTTCCAGTACCTCACACAGTGGGAAATGCTTAATAAATTTTGGTTTAATGAATGATTTCATAATCATAAACTGTCAGTTTTTAGATGTTTATAAGGCATTTAAGTCATTTACTTTTTTAAAACAAATGCAATCTGTAGAAAAATTATTTTTAGATCTCTTATTTGTAGATAGAGAGGACAGAACAGATAGGTGAGTAGATGTCCCCAGCATCTTTTGGGGAACCTGGCACCCCACCCCACCTCCCTGAAAGGTATATAGAGACATGATACCTATGCTAACTGCCTGGGTTATTTTTTCACTTTCTTGTGTTTATGAAAGTTTGAAGTGTCAATTTCTAGGTTAGGTTCCACGCAATTATGTGAATTGTTTATTTGGAGTTATTTCATAAGGGTATTTTTGAAAGAATCTCATACTATTTTGACATTGCAGTCTTCTGCATCGTTATTTTAAGAACACACCAATCCTCCTTCCTTTACCAAGCTATTGGTACCTGCATTTCATTGAGCACATATCACACATATAGGTAAAAAGAGGAGGTAAGCTTCAGGGTAGGGTGATGTGCCACAACTGCTGAAATAATTTTTTTTTTGTACCAGGGATTAAACTCACCACCTTGTGCTTGCAATGCAGGCACAGTGCCACTGAGCTAAGTCCCTGGCCCTAAAATGATTTTTTTGGTGATATAGTACTAGAAATTTTCTTTTCTTTTTTGTACCAAGCAATTGAATCCAGAGGCTCTCACCAAGTTATAGCTTGAGCCCTTTTTAGTTTTTTTGAGGAAGGATCTCACCAAGTTGCTTAGGCTGTCCTCAAACTTGCTGTCCTCCTTCTCAGCCTCCTTCTCAGCTGGATTATGAACATGGATCACCATGCCAGGCTCAGTACTTAATTACTTAATTAATTACTTAATTAATAGTTCTCTGTTTTGTTGAGACTATGTAGTTCAGACTGGCCTTCACTCATGGCCTTGAACTTATGATGGTCCTCCTGCTTTTGCCTCTGGAGTGCTGGGATTATAGGCCATGCCTATCTTCAGTGCTAGAATATTTTAGGAGTATATCACTCTGTGATATACATTTGATTGTTTCTTAGTGTGTTTTATTAAAAAGCTGTTAGACAAGGTATCAAAAGAACTAGGTTCCTGGTCCATTTTATCCATTAGCTTACTAGATGAAGTTGAATAGTACTTTACTTTCTGTGGGCTTCAAATTATTTTTTCAATAAAAGAATTAGATGATTTTTTAAATTCCCCTTTGAGGGTAGCACTCTAAGATGCTCTTAACTTGCTTCTCTGCCTATCACAGTCTAAAGTCCCTTTATTTTGGTAGTGGGAATTGAACTCAGGACCTTGCATTTGTCAGGCAGTCATGGCGCCACTGAGCTACATCCTCGGTCCTGTCTAAAGTCTTAAGAAGCATTTGAGAGACATCTTTCAATCCTTGTGGAGCAGAAATGATGAATCACATTTTATTCAGGTAACTGGCTTGATTTGTTTTACTTTGCTTTTTTAAGCCTTAGGAACCTGAGCTACAGAAGATTCCTATATTGTTTTTTTTTTTTTTTTTTTTTTTTTTTTTGGTACTGGTTATCAAACTCAGGACCTTGTGCTTGCAAGGCAGGCAGCAGAACCACTGAGCTAAATCCCCGGCTCCATATATTGAATTTTAAATTTCTTATTAGTCGTGGATCAAAAGGCAAAGGCTGATGGATTATAATTCCTTGTGGGGAATATAGTTTTACTTGTACTTACCCCTCCTTCTTCATTGCTGTGTGGTAGACGTCCAAAACCCGGAGGTGGCATCCTCTGAAACGTGAATGACACAGTAAACACAAGAGAAAACTGCTCTATATGCTGCTGTTTCTTTATAAGACTGATGGTGTGCTAAATTAACTCAAGTTAGTTATTGGGTGTTAATACTCTGAGCTTTTAGCTTTTGAGCCCGTGGCTCTCACTGTCTTTTAAGAGTTGTAATCCATTAGGGAATGCTGGTAAATACAGAGGCGTCAGCTGTATCTTAAATTGTCCTGTGTAAAATAGCTGGATGGCTGAATCTCCTGTTTGGCCCCCACTACCTCCAGCATGCATTCCCCTACCCCCACCCCCACCACAGAGGGGAGGGGCATGGGAGACTGATTTGAGTGACACTGGAATCCGAACATCTATAATAGAACATCTAATAATAGGATGAATGATGTTGTTTTTAGAAGGCTTGCTTCACATGTGGGGGTTAATTTTTCTAATCAAATTTGAAAGGTGAATTTCAGGGACTGTTACAAAGTGGGAGGATTTAGAAAATCAGTTTGGTTCCCATAGACTTTCTTTTTAAAAAATTATTTAGGACTGGGGATGTGGCTCAGTGGCACTGTGCCTGCATGGTAAGCACTAGGTCCTGAGTTTGATCCCCAGTACCAAAAACAAAAATCATTTAAAATTATAATTAATGCATATTAGTTGTGCATATTGATGGGTTTCACTGTGACCTTTTCATACATGTATATACTGCAATTGTGCTTTTGTTGTGTTCCTTTGCCAACTACCCTTTCATAACCTCTCCTTTCTTCCTCTTTCCTCCAGTCCCCTTACCCTTCTCTTGTGATCCCTTTACTACTTTCAGGTTATCTTTTACATTTTTGTTTTATTCTGGCTTCCTCATATAAGTGAAAAACACAATACATGTCTTTCTAGATTTGAATTATTTTACTTAACCTGGTGACCTCTAGGTCCATTTGCCTGTGAATGACATTTATCTGACTTAAGCAGGTTATTTTCTTTTTTTTTTTTTTTGTTTTTTTTTTTTTTTTTTTTTTTTTTTTTTTTTTTTTTGGTTATTTTGAGACAGGGTCGCACTATGTAGTTGAGACTTACCTGGAACTCACTATGTAGCCCAGGCTGATCTCAAACTCAAAGTGATCCTCCTGCCTCAGTCTTCTGAGTGCTGGGATTATAGGCATGCACCACCACGCCCGGCTGATAACCATGTTATCTTTATCTGTTCATCTGTGTACAGGCATGAGGCTGATGCTGTTGTGTGACTACTGTGAGTAGAGTTGGAGTAAATGTGGTGTGCAGGTGTCTCAGATGCTAACTGACTCCATTCCTGTGAGTGTATCTCCAAGAGTGGTAACTGGATTGTGTGGTAGCTCTACTTTTTGAGGAACTTCCACACTGTTTTCCATAGTACTGTACTATTTATATTCTCTCCAACAAGGTATAAAGATTCACTTTTCTCTGTACTATCAGCGGCGTTTTTTGTTTGTTCGTTCGTTTGTTTGTTTTTTGGTAATAGCCATTTTGACTGGAGAGAGGATGGAGTCTCATTGTAGGTTTTTTTTTTTTTTTTTTTTTTTTT